TTTTTGTATCTCTAATGTATAAAACATACAATGGGGGAGTTTATGAAAACTGGAGCAGCTGTGTATGGCAACCAATCACCTTCTCTCTTTCATTTTCAAAGCTTAATTGAACAAGCAGAAGGGAGATTGGTTACTATGGGCAACTGCTCCAGATTCTGACTGCTCCAGTTTTAATAAATGTCCCCTAATGTATCTGTTTTATAGCAGCCTTCCTCACCCAGGGTGCTGTGGAGTCCTAGGGTTCCTCCAGAGGTTGCTGGGGGTTTCTTGAGCAAACAGGACCATGGGGAACAGACGTAGCCCCCCTCCAGAAGGAAGGACAGTGTCTGCACCAATTCAGAGATGACTGGAGGATCTACAGCCAGTGGCGTAACAATCGCCATAGAAACTCAGGTGGCCGCTATGGGGCCCGGGGACAGGGGAGCCGGCCATCCCTCTGATGCCGTGTGGGTCGCTATGGCATGTAAGGGTGCTGGAAGGGGGCCCCCAATAAGGATTGCAGACGTTGCTGCTGACACACACATAAGCAAAAAATGAAGCCGATCTCCAGGCAGACATAAAAGGCATAAATAAATGCAGCTCTGTAAACACTACATAAATGACGTGTGTAAGTGCTTAAATTTGATGCAGCCTCTTTCTGCCCGTTTACAGCAGAGCTCTGACTGTGGGAGGGAGTAGCGGTGCAAGAAGCCATTCAGGTGCGTAGCAGTGCATATGGCATATTGATGGGAGGAGAGAGCAGAGTGATAGAGCGAATAGCTCCTCCCACGTGCCGATTCTCTGTTCACTCAACAGTCGCGGGCAGGCTGTGGGTAGGAGACCTGCAAGTGAAAGTGCTTCCAAAGATCTGGTCCTCTCCCGTGCCAGGCAGGACTGTGCTGTGTGGCAGAGCTGTGTAAATCTTAGGACTGGGGGGTGGGAACCAGGACACTACCCCCCTAGATTGTACATTGGGGTCATGTGGCCGGTTTGTGTGGAGGTTTTCATATGTACTGTGGCTCTCATTGAGCGGCATGCTGGGATCTGTGGTCCCTCAGGCTCGGCTGATGTCTCCAGCCATCACTTTGGCGTCACTTGAGCCCCAGCGCAGTAAACAAACAGTGACGGGAATGACTTGACAAAGGCGCGATTGCCCAATTCTTGCATTTCAACACCGTCAGAAAACCGCCATTTCTGCATCTTATCTCGGTGAGATCCTCTGCGAGCAGCTTCGGGTGAATCGGGAGGAAACGACTTTCTCCGGCGGTGTAAACCTTCCTGAGTCATCTGCTGTGTATGAAGCTGGAGCAGCCAATCAACTCCATTGCTGGAATGATGGCGATCAGGATACATTGTAACTACCTGACATCAGACGTATCCTTGTTCTATCCTCCGTGACACCTCCATGTATCTATTACCTCTTCCAGAGACCCGGGAACTCAGCACAGGGATGGTGGGAGCTCCTCATAATGGGCACAGCAGGTATACAGACCCGGGAACTCAGCACAGGGATGGTGGGAGCTCCTCATAATGGGCACAGCGGGTGTACAGACCCGGGAACTCAGCACAGGGATGGTGGGAGC